GTACACATTATGATTCATAGAAGATCATTAAGTAGGTGATTTTATGGAAGCACAAGTAAGCGAAGCTGCATATCAGAGAGAAAGTTCATCAGCACTACTGTTGTAAAGTCTGCTATGGCAACAAGAGCTAAAATGACCCCAATAATCCTTGCCTCCTGGTGTCATATTGAAATCTGGCCAGCTTCATTCCTCACTTCTGCCCAGATGAGTATGGCAGACATGATGGGATGTTGCTTCTTATMTTAGGCTAAATAAGAGCGTGATTTTCCCCCTTGGCTTCCCAGACTTATACTCTTGGTGGTTTTATGAAGCATGTTGTCATGTTGACACATGCAGCAAACCCAGGACAGCCCCCATCCAAAGCCAGCCAGGAACCAAGACCCTCATCTCAACTACCCTTGAAGAACTTAATACTACTAATAARCCTGTGAGCTTGCGAGCAAATTCTTCCCCATCGAGAATTTTATTTTATCATCTTCATTTTAACTTAATTACAAATTTAAACACCCCCATCTCCAAATAGAGCATATTTTGAGGTCTAGGGATTAGGGCTTCAAAATATGAATTTTCCAGGGAAACAGTTCAGCCCATAACAATTGGCTACCTAAAAATCTGTAATTATTTTTATGTTTATATCAAAAATGTGGTTGATCTTACTGTCTATAGAGGTCTTTTGCTTCCTTGTTTTTCTTTAATATATTTGTTTCATATAATATATATATATATCTATATATATATATATCTATATATATATATATATGTATCTATATCACATGATTTAGTGTACATATTTGCATGTCCTGGTCTCTATAACAAAACTATAATTCCTATAAGCACATGTCTTTCATATGTTTTACATATAGCACTTCAAAGTGTATAAGATAATGTTAATCGATGTATTTTCCAGATATATCTTGTGTTTATTTGTTTACTTCTAAATAAGAATATTCTAGAAGTAGTTTACCTTGAGAATAAGGACTTTTTCATGATAAAGATACTTGAAGAACTTATATTTATTTGAAGTATGGATGTATAGTTTTAGATGGTGCTAAAGCTAGAATATCTGTGTAACTATTTGGTCATCCAAATTTAAGGGACACACTACTAGAGCTTCTTCATCCTGTGCTGCTGATTCATCAAGACACCATTTTCCTCTGAGCATTAATAGAAGTATATATACTTAAAATATTTCAAAAAAAAAAGGGCAGAGGAGGAAAAAGAAATGAAAGCCACTGCTATGCAAAATTTCTTTTAAGTATATGCCAAAGGTTCTCAAAATCTGAACGGCTGATCTAGGGAGTCCCTGGAACTCTCAGGGGACCTGCAAGATTGAAACTATTTTGAAAATAAAATTAAAACATTGTTACCTAGAGGTGTAGCCCASTGGTAGAGCACTTGCCTAGCATGTGCTGCAAGGGTTTGATCCAGTACTGCAAAAAAGAAAAATTATCTTTGATGARCCAATTAAAATTATTACTGTTATTAAGTCTTGACCTTTGATTAGGCATCTTTGCAACATTCCACATGACTAAATTGGAAGTATACATGAAATTCCTTTGTTCTGTACTAGTGTACARTGGCTTTCCCAGGGAAAATTCCTGTGCAGTTGTTTGAACTGTGAGCTGAACTAGCTACTTTTTCATGGAACACCATTTTTACTGGAAATCATGACTAAAAAACTATCTGTGCCTATGCAGACTTAGGTACGTGACAGACGTTTTCTGAAAAAGGAACTGAGCCCTTCACTTCAAGCAAAACTGCAACTGCTAGCATTTACTGCTGGTATCACAATTCAAGCTTTCAAACACAAATTTGAATTTTGGAAAACTTGTGTCTGCCCACATGAATTTGGCTGATTCCCAAATTTAAAGATTGTCCTTATGAGATTATTGGTGATATTAACAAATGTTTTGTTTATGATATTATATAATGATATATGTCAACATTAGAAAGGACTATACAAGCCGGGCATGGTGGCACACACCTRTAATCCCAGTGGCTTGGGAAGCTGAGGCAGGAAGATCATGAGTCCAAAGCCAGCCTCAGCAATAGCGAGGCACTTAGCAACTCAGWGAGACTCTGCCTCTAAATAACATACAAAATAGGGTTGGGATGTGGCTCAGTAGTCAAGTGCCCCTGAGTTCAATCTCCAGTACCACCSCCCCCMAAAAAGAAAGGACTATATAATTTACTGAACCAACATTTTCTAAATGGCTTGAGTATCATATTGTAAGATAGTACCTGAGTTAAAGATTCTTTCAAAATACAAGAAAAAAATTTTTTAATGTAATGAAGTAYGATTTTATATTAGCATATATAATATTAAAATGTGTTYGATTTAAACATTAAAGTCCATAACCTTGTTTATTTATGGTTCATAAATTTTATTGATGAGGTTGCAGATTTCATGTGCATTTAACTTCAGAAACTACCATGTGTTGAGTTTTGGTAGAAWACTACAAGAATAATATCCACAATTATGCAAAAAGGGTATTAAATTACTAYGCTTTCCATCTAGATATCTTTGTAAGGTTAAATATTTTTTGCACTTAAACCAAAACAACATATTGCAACARGTTGAAAATAAAAGCAAATATGAGAAAATAATTATCTCTATTATGCCAAACATCAACAAGATTTTTAAAAAAATCTCCTTTACATTTTGTACAATTGCTCTCTTTTAAGTTTGTTTTTGGGTTTTMTTTATTTATTTGTAGATATAGTATTTGTCATGAAAAATCTGTTTTTGAAGTGGAATTGGAAGATCACATTTTCTACCATCATAGTAAAAGATTGTTTTAGGCAGGAATGTTAAATCAGAGGAAAATTTGAATAAAAAACAGGTGGTTTATGGGTATTAAAGTATCTCYTCACATGCTTACAAGTTACAAAAGAAAAATAAGGAGGAATTGTTTGGTGGAGAAATCAACATCACCTTGAACTGGTGATCAAAGTCAGCCTCTAGTTTGAGGAACATATGGACAAAACGTACCTCCAGATGTGATGGCCTTAGAGAGAGTGTTGCAGCTGAAAATCCACAGGCTAAATCAAATCATGAGCAAACATTTGATGAGACCAAAATATGAAGTTTTCTTTTAAAAAAATACATGGTGACATACTTCAAAAATATCARGATCAGAAAATACAAGGTATAGAAATGTTGTGAGACTGGATGCTGTATTAGAGGGAGAGAAATACTGAAAGGGCATTATTGTGTTAAGTTGAAAACTGGAATATGGATGGTAAAGCACTCTATCAATGTTGAATTTTCTGGCAAATGTAGTGTGATAGTAAGAAAATACTCTATTTCTTAGGTAATAAACATTGAAATTTTAGGAGCAAAGGGCCTTGATATTTTTAAGTTACTTTCAAATGATACAGAAAAAGTTATATATAAATGTACATTTACATATTTCTGTATACATACATACATTTGATGACATGAATATGTTCACAGAGTGCACAAGGACTCTCTGAACATATTCATGTCATCATATATAATTATATAGACATGTAATTATAACCAAAGTAATTTTTGCTTACAATTATATGTCTATATACCATACAAAGGAACCTAAATGATTTTTAGAATTAGCAAAATATTAATAATAGATGTATATAGATAAATAGTACACAGTTGCTCCTTGTACTATTGATGTTCTGTTAAATATTCAGTAAATTTGAATAATTACCAAATAAGATATCTAAAAATTTAAATGTGGTTACATTTTACAAACTATATAATGAACTTATGATTGTTTTTAAAAATACATATTTAATTTKGGGGGGATTCTTGATAAATTTTGGGTATGAAAGTCACAGAGGCCAAGGACCATTGGTGCACACTGTGGATGGGTAGGTAGGGCTCTTCTCACTATCTCAAGTCTATTTTATGACATTAAGGAGAGCTGATTTGGTAGAACCCATTTACTAATATTATAATCCAGGGCAAGCCAGTTAGTCTCTCTTAACTTTAGTGTCCTTGTATGTAAAGTTCAATCACTTGTTTTGTATACAGACTTTCAAGTAACAAGCCCTCCACAGTGCTATCTTTATGGGTGACCTGTGTGTTTCTGTGTTCTGCCATGTCATTTTGTGATTGGCAAGTAATTTTTGGTTATAATTATATGTCTGTGTRCCATCACAAAGAAACCAAAAAACATTGTCAGGATAGTTCTTTAAARTACAAGTTTTCATGCCCCTGTAAACAAAATGGTTGGAGACACATAGAAATGTAATGATGAACCTTAAAAAGAAAGTCATATAGGAACCATGCATGGTGATGCTCACCTGTAACCCCAGCTACTCAGGAGGCTGATATAGGAGGAACACAAGTTAGAGGTCAGATGGAGAAAGTTAATGAAACCCCATCTCAGATTTAACAAGAGCTGGGGATATAGCTCAGTAATAAAGTGTTCTTGGGTTCAATCCCTAGTACTGCCAAAGTATAGCAGGTAGAGTTGAGGAAGTAAAGATRAACAAGCAGAGATGTTTGGAAATCCTTGATTTTAGGAAGAGCCTGATACACATAGGAAGTTGAACCAACAATTGTAAGAAAAGTGGTTGATAGAGGATTTGCACAGGAAACACTTTTCCYCTGGGTGGGGGTGGACTATCATGACCTTGTTTAGCCCTGATTCCACTGGCTTTTCAATCTCCAGATATTCATCCTCTCCTCTAAGTGGATATGTCTATATCAAATTAAGTTGTAATGATATTCATTTACAATTAATGTAAGAAAAAATAGTGTTGTTTTGTGTCATTTCTAACATTTCCCCTAGCATCTATACCTCACTCTATTAAGCATAAAACCAGTGAAAAGTATAGAAAATGAGATTGTTGAAATATATGGTGGTCACCTAAATCCAAATTCAAATGATCATCATCAGAGCAAAGTTTTGTGTTGTTTGCTATGCAGTTTGTTGTGTTTTATTCTTTTTTGTTTTATTGTGATTTATTTCTCTGTATTTAAATTTTTTTCTTTTTCCTTTTTAAAACAGATCATCAGAAACTGGAAAGGGAAGCTAGAATCTGCCGTCTTTTGAAGCACCCCAATATTGGTGAGGAAATATTTTTAATGTATTTTAAGTGCTAATTTAACATGGATGTACTATATTGGACCACAATAAAAATGTTAACTTTATTAAGTGGAATATTTACAACTGTTAACAAATAGATTCCTACCTTTTGGTTTTAGTTACATTTGATTCTTCATAGTTTTTAATATGATTGTTTATTTTTTGATGCAATTTTTTTTTTGGATGCAATGTTCGAAGCAGGAATGGAAAATTAAAAACTATCTCCACAAATTAAACTAATCTTAGTTTGTGGAAATTAATATATTAATTAAATCAATAGTGTATGGTTCCTGTTGTGCTTAAAATTGACTACATAGCAACCAGTGAAAATACTGAGTGTAATTTGTAGATTAAGTAAATGAAAATTAGATAAACCCTGGCTATATTATATTAGCTTTATTTTAACGACATGTTTTGGAGTCTGTTATGTGAATTAATTCCAGTGTCCCTCTGTGGAGTCATTTGAAATGAAAATGATAATCCCTCACCTCATTTGGAAAATAGTCTTAAAGGTAAAAATAAAACCAGTATACCCATTTTTGGGAAGATATATACAATTTTAAGCAGAACAGGAACCATACACTATTGATTTAATTAATATATTATATATATATACATATATATATATTTTTTTTTTTCAAGAAGTAGTAATTGGGGTTGGGGATGTGGCTCAAGCGGTAGCATGTTTGTCTGGCATGCGTGGGGTGCTGGGTTCGATCCTTAGCACTATATAAAAATAAAATAAAGATGTTGTGTCCACCGAAAACTAAAAAATAAATATTAAAAAAATTCTCTCTCTCTCTCTTAAAAAAAAGAAGTAGTAATTGTATATAAACTAACAGTTTAAAAAATAATATSTAGTAATGTTGAATAATGTTTTTTATGTATAATTAAGAATTATTCATGTGCTGCTGATGAAGCATGGAGAGACAGAACTTGTGCCATTTATTCAGTCAGCTGATTTCCTTTCCATTTATTCTGTAAGAAGATTATTTTGTATTTATTAATTCTATTCTATAAACTAATAAAATTATTTTACAATATTATCCCTCATGAATTATAAGTAACRTGATAGTTTACACAATTTAAAATGATGAATAATAAAATAAGAAAAAGGGAAGAAACAGCGGAAAGAAAAAAATATATACAGAAGTTAGATTCTGTGACAATTTATTTTAGAAAAACTTTAACTGTCCCACCTCCCTCAGTTTTGTGAACCAAAGTATTTGTGATCTAGAAGTAGTGAGAAAAAAATGATAATGTTATAAAATTTGCAAAATCATTTACTAAGAAGATTTATAGTTCTTTGGTTTTCACATGGAGAACCATTTCAGTACCTATTTCCGACTTGAATTTTTGAGTGTCCTGCATTTAGTGGGTGCATCCTAGGTTCTTAAGTGAATAGATTAACTACTGAGTTAATCTGAAGCATACAGAAGTCTAAAAGGAAACTTCTGATATTGGAAGAGAACAAAGCAACTCTGAAATGTAAATCTACCTGCTTACAAGAGCTTACCCCTGATAAAAGTCTATGGCGTTTCTTGGTCTATGGGCTTGTAGGCAGCCATCTTCTCTCTGTGTGTTCACATGGCCTTCCTTGTGTGTGACATCTGTGTCTTAATTTTTCTTTCTTGAAGGATCCAAATCATGCTGGATTAGAGTTCACACTTATGACCTCATTTTAACTTAATTACCTCTTTATGCCCCTTTCTCCCAAAGACAGTCACATTCTGAGGTACTGAGGTAAAACTTGAATGTATAAATCTGGTGGGATATAATTCAGTTCACAGAATTGGTGAAGAGAAATTGCATAATATTATCCACACTAGTTCAGTACTTTTCTTGCTCAGGTTTAAGAAAAAATGAAAGATTCGTTTGGTGAATTTGCATTTCATATGTGAAAGGATTGTTGTTTGTTTGTTTATTTATTTTTTATTTATGTTAAAAATCCTTCTGTGACATTCAGTTTCTGTTGATAAGAAAACTAGCTTCCTTCATTTTCCCCCTGGAAGATTGAAGTCAAATATTCTAACAACTCTCAAACTAGACAAGAACGGTTTTCATTTGGACACCACATACAGAATAACATTATCATTAAAAAAGGAAATGTTGTATACTGGGGAAAGTTCTAGTTTTGTGACCTAGACAGCATCATCAACATATACACAGACACAATATGTACTTTTTTTCATGACTCTATAGTGACTAAACAGTTTCTTGGTTACCTCACTTGAARGTTTTTCCCATCTCAACCGATTTCAGGAGTACAAAAAGAGATATGGGAATTCCAATTCCTTGAATACTAGTAGGATTGGCTTCTAGCCACAGGAGAGACTTTTTTTTTTAGTGATTCTGTGCTTCAGGACATATAAATCACAGATTAAATTTTGTACAACAGGATCTCAAAAGTCCTAATACCGGAATCCATCTCTATCATTCATTTCCTCAATAAGCTACTGATGGGGAGTACGGGCGGAAAGAAGGCAGACCCATGTCCTTGCCCATATGAGACTGTGCTGTTGCAGGAGATGGAAAATGAATAAAGAAGGTTAGATAGTGATAAACTTAGGRGGAAAAGAGAAAACAGGGAAGGGAAATTCAGAACATCATGGGATTCCAATTTAAATAGCTAGGTAGTACCACATCAATGAGAAGGTGACATTTGAGTAAAGACCTACCAGCCAGGAAGAAGCAAGTCATTCAGTTCTTTTGGGGGTGGGGGACCACATGCAGGCAAAGAAAATAAATAGCCTCTGGAAAGGCCCTGAGGCAGGATCTTGCCAGTGAATTCTACCAAAGCTTTTTATTTAATTACAGAAGTAAGGGTAACTTATTTTTTATTTTGTCTTGGCTATTTTAATTGATGAGTCTCCAAGTCATGTAATCTGGTAATGTAGTATTTACTCCCATAAAGAACAGTGATTTTAAAAGAAAAACAGTGACAATTGTCAAGAAAGTAGGCAAAAGCCAATAAACAGATAGTTTAAAGATAGATGCCATGAATGGTCAGTCAGAATGTGATCCTATGATACCAGGGACAGGCCAGTAGTGTGGTGAGCAGATRGCTTCTGTTCCCTTTGGGATCATTGTACCTAGTTAGTACTATCATTGTACCTAGTTAGCAGTACCCTGTAGATCACCAGCACTTACTACCAAGTCCCACTGCACAGGGAAAATAGCATCTGGCCTTCACTTCCCTGAAAGGCATAGTGCGATGTCTATGTAATGTACGATCCCATCCCCTTCTTCCTTTCCTCTATTTTATTATTTGTTCTGTTATTTTATTCTTTCCTCTATTTTGCTACTTAAGCTCTGTTAAGTTTCAAAACCTCAAGGAAGGAGATACTATTTCTGACAATTTTTCCCCTGTGAAAATTTGCTTTTCATTTTTATGTGTTTTTCTTTTGGCATAGAATCAATAATCTTGAGAACTTGCAGCAAGTAAAAGGTTTCTCCCAAAGAAACACATTTTAAACCAACCTAAAGTGGTAATTTATGAAACCACTTTTTTTTTTCCCAGGGTTATTTTTTAAGTTTTTCTGATCTTAAAATTCATATACACATTTAACGGAAAATTTAGAAAATACAATGATGTATGAAGATGAAACCAATGAAGACAATTTTTAATTTTTATTTTATACATTTCTACTTTTCATATTAAATCTATGTGTATATGTACATGTATATATATGCATATTTGTGTATGTGTATGTATAAATTTTCAACATTCTCTTGTGCACATTTTCATATCCTTTCCATAGACCATGAGGATTGTCTTACTTGACAAAATTTCCTTTATTTTTAGAACTTTATTTTGTTTATCTTTTTATGTGGTGCCGGAGATCCAACCCAGTGCCTCACATGTGCTAGGCAAGCGCTCCACCACTGAGCTTCAAACCCAGACCTCCACAAAATGAATTGAGTAGCCATTGCCAAGCAGTGTTCTGGGATGTACTCAGTGGTGATGAAGCAGTGATCAAGAGAGATGATGTCTCTCTCTGCTTTCCCATAGCTTTGCTTCCTAGTGTGGAAACAAACCCCATGATAACAATGTAAGGATGATTTTTATGCAGATAATTGAAGGTCAGTTTGCTACCAACAGACTGGATGGCTGTGGTTAAAAAGAAACAGAGCCAGACATTAGTTGAAGGCAGTAAAAACACCCCCCCCCCCGAAAAGTTGCAACAGGGGAAAGAGCTCAGACTTAGATATCAAGGATRGGGAATGAGGAAGTTGATAAGATATCAAAGCTGGAGGATGAGGAACTTGATCAGATATCAAAGGTGGGGCATGATTTATAGGGTTCTTCACTGTAACTTTCCTAATGAGGCTAGGGACTGAGTCCAAGAACAAGGCTTGGTTGAAGAGAAACCTGTCCAAAGTCTGGTCAAAGTGATTTGACAGGCAAATATGACCGTGTAGGTCACATTTAAACTAATATCTGATTGAAGATGAAGCCATCAGTAAAAGCCCATGGAGAAAGCAGTTCAGGCAGAGGGAGCTTCCCTTGTTAGGGGAACAGTGGAGAGACCTGTGGATCGCCTCCCATGGGAGAAAGTGAGAGTGAATGAGCAGGCCAGGTAGGTATCTCATCACAGGGCTTTGTAAATAGGGTTGAGGGGTGTGGGTCCCACTCTGAGTGCCATGGGAAGCCAGTGGAAGGATATTAAGCCAGTGAGCATTATTATACAATTGGCTCTGTCTGCTGTGTGCAAAATGGATTGTAGTCACATGCACACAACCAGGGACAAATAGTGTTCAGTCAGTACGTCATAATCCAGTGTGTACCACTGCAGTGCCCTTCAGCCACATCTTTTGAGGTAAGAATTTAAACACCTCCAGGCTGATTATCTTGAGGGTGGTCCACATAGTCTATGAAAAGCACTCTCATCCTTTTGTTCAATAAATTTGGGAGTATGGGCAATTCCTAAGAAGTTCCATCTTTGTACTCCTCTGGAAAGATTGTAGCTGACACTGAGGTG